TAAAACCATGAAAATTAAATAGTAGTTTCGAATGAAAAGAGAAGCGGAAGTAAACATAATGTATAAAATTATTATAAACGCAACATTTGTTGATATCGTAAGAAAACAAACCATACATCATAAGAAAATGAAAAAAAAGGAATTTTCCATGGCAAATACGTTGCAAAAACAAACTCAATTCACACAGCAATTAACCTAACAACGACATATAAATATACTTGCGATTGGTTCATTCAAACACTGATAACAATTTGACGAATATTCTGATAAGAAAAAACGTGAATATATAACATAACAAGTGCCATAATTACTATAACAATTGTAACAATAGTAAGTGCATACAATAGCTCGTAATGTGCTGATAATAACCACGAATATATTAGTAACAATTCAATTATTTAGTCCAATTTATTTACATTCTCATATCGAGGGGCTCCCTCCCGAAAACCCGAAGCGTTTCGTTCCAAAAATAATACTTCAAAAGTCTTCTTTTTTTCCTTTTTGCTACAGCAGCATACAAGCATTTTATAATTTGCTCGTTTATTCGAGCAGATCAAATGCAAGTTCTCAGCAAGAAATTCAAACGTATTCCGCATTCCACTTTCTTCCAACACCGGCACCGTCGTTTAACCAATAATTCTAAATATCAACTGAAACCAGAAATAATTATAATAAAATGAATTTAAAAGAAACAGAACTACTCACTCACTAAAATTCATAACATGGAATGGTATGGAATGAAAACTTAAACAGCCAAGAAACCCAGGATGGTATCAAAAGAAACTGAATTCGTTTCGATAGTATAACACTCACATTCTTAACAATTAAACTTACACATGGTCAGATTCGATAGCGTTGAGTCAAATTCATGTTCAATACAAATTTCAAGGACTGTTGTTTTCACCTGCTACGATTTCTGCTATATTTGACATTTGATTTTTCTCGTTTAATAGTTTCGCATCATGCAATTCTGACTGTACAGCAACAGAATTCCATTCCAAAAATCCTACCCACATTCTCAAATATCACTAATTCATAAGAAAAGTATTAACTGATTTCATCCACATCGACTTCTTCATCCGTAATGAATTTGTATACAACTTTGGGGGTCAAAGGATCAGGACGTGGCCGCGTTTGCGTTCCCCGATCAACTTTGCCCACTCGTTCAGACACATTCACTTGAACGCCTACACTCCGCCTCATATATTTAGTACTGATTAGCCTTTCTTGCTTTACAATAGTTCTGAAAACGAACACTGTAGGTGGCATTTAAGGCACGAATTGAAAATTGACGTTCACAATAAAACTGAAACTATTTTTCAGTTCCAGGCTGATAGGTTGAGCGAAAATTACCACTGGCTTGGTTATTCTACTTCATATTATTGTAATTCGCTCAGTGAAAACTAGCAATGCAAAACTGCGGTGACAGGTAACAATATCGTGGTGATACTTGAATGAGATTATTAGTGGGATATGATCACCTTTTGACTGCCTCTGGCGGGCAAGAGCTACGATGCCTTTGAATAAAACGTTTCCAACTCGAAAGATTGCCCATTTTTACTCTCGCTTCATAGCTGATCTGATTCAACACATCACCCAACATGACTGCAGGTGGTTCATTCGATGTCAGTGCTCTCTGTTTCAAAACACTTCGACATCTCAACACCTCACTATCACACGGTTCTGGACGATGATTGTGTTGAATGATTTCCCTAGTTGTTTCACGAATCACAGCCGTACCCCTACATCCGGCCCGGCGCTTCACGCATATCCATCTGTTACCTCGCTTTTGATGGTTGTAAATATATCCATTGTGTATCAATTTCCCGTCTATGAATTCTATATCTGAAAAAATACGAAACCAATGACTCTTCGTAATGCTGGGAATAATAATGACCATTTTATTCTTCAAAGTATTCTCAAAATTGCTTCAGCTCTCGGCAAGAAATTAAACTTAACGTGGTTTTCAGTAAATACAATTAAATTAAACTTACATTAAATATGCAAATGCTTCTTAGGTAACCAATAAAAAAA